GCCTGACTCCCTCTATTCCAGGCCCATGGTGATCAGGAGTATCGGGAGGGCGGTCTGGAGACAGAATGTTCGCCATGCCCACCAGGCGTGGAAGACCCACGAATCAGGTCCATTTTTTTGTTCTGATCGACCCGCTGGCGGGGGCAGCGGAGCTGGCCAATGCCCTTGAGTTCTACCGTCGATCTAACCCGATTCACGGGGTGCTTGCCTTCAAGACACAAGCCGAACTTCGGAGAGAAAAATGACGGTGCGAGTGACGAGATGACGAGAAGGAAGGCCAGGGGCAACTCAAGATCACGGCCCGCCGGAGTAGACTCTGGAGCCCGCTCGGGCGCAGGATGACCCTGTTGGCGATGCGCACAGCTGGTTGACAGTCAGCTGCGACAGATTCTGGCGGCGCGCTCTCGCTGCTTGCTGCCCAATGGCAGCCCGTCTTCGCCAGGAAAGAGACCCAGACCCATGCTGCGCATCGTTATCTCCATCACCATGTTCCTGATGTCGATCTCTCCGCTATTCCTCATCCTTCTTCGCCAATTACAAGGTCGCCTTGGGAGATCCGAAGATGGGGCCCCTTTATCGGGCTTGGAAGCGGCACCCCGCAGGGCTCGGCATCCTGGACGAAGGACTCAGGCGGTTACTCAGTGGGAGACCTATGTTACCATCGTTCAAGTTGTTCGAGGGGCTTCTCGGGCTGCCGACCAAACGCGCCCTCTCGGGTTAAAACAGTCTACCAACAAGCCCATCACTGGGACTATTCTCGAGAGTCTCAACCGTTTGGACTCAGATTATGCCTTCAAAGTGCGGGCTTGTCCGAGGGAGGAACTTCGGTCTGGACGTCTGGAGCTGGATGCGAGGAGCAGGATGGTTTCGACGTTGTTTGATGCATCCGTTCGGCCCCCAGTCCTCCTTGCATTCGACTTCGGGCAGGCCTCTCCATCGGTCGCCCATGATTGGATCCATCTCAGTCTTGCGTCGTTTGGCGTTCCATCCGTTGCGGGTCTTCGCAGAGCCGCTGAGCTCTGGCGCTCGATGCGTCGGGGCCTTCGGCCGAGACTGTCAGTGCGCCTTCAATGTAGAGTCGGGCATGATTCAAGGGCGCCCTGAATCAGGAGTTCTTTCCGCTGTAGCGAGCCACCCGTTCCTCGCTGACTTCTGGAAGCGGCCGGAGGAGCCGGCTGCGGCACCGGCACCGGACACTGGCGCGGGCGGGGCGGCCGGGGCCCAAATTGCATCATCGACCCCGTGGGCGAGCTCACCTGTCTCTCCATGCCTACGCATGACACGCGCGCGCTGACGACATCGGAGCGGCGGTGGACGAACTTCGCAGATCTCATGATCTGAAGGCGTCATTCGATTGCAGCGAGGCTTTCGCGTGTCTTCCGTTATAGATAGCCAAGTGTTTCCCGGCCCCCCTTGCTGGGGAGTTGCGCCCCATCCTCGCTGCCAAGTTCACGGGCGATGGCATCGACATGTTCGCCCTGACTGGGGGGCCTTCCAGATCGTTTCCCCCGTGAAATACTTGGGGGCCCGCATGGGGCCATCCGTTTCCACCGACTCCCGGCGCGCCCCGCCGGCCGAATGGCACGCGAGATGCGCCGCGATTGCTGCCGAGGGCTCGCCTGCCTCCATCGCCCAATATCTGTACTCCAGTCGCGCGGCCTCCACCCTGAGCTACGTTGCCCAGTTCTGCCCCCTTCCCATCGGCATGTCCCGCTCTTCCCTCTCCTGTCGCCCGCTCTGAACACGCTGCCCTCGCTTCCTTGCATAGCGTCTCGCACTGCGCCCTCTCTCGATCCGCCTGGTTCAACCTCGGGGCTTGGGGGGGCCCTCTGTTGTGAGTATCCAAGCCATGCGCGCAGGTGCCCTCATGCGTTCGGCCATCGCCACCTTTTCCTGAATATGCTGCTATGTTGTGCCAGCTGCGAGACTTTGCCAGTGATAATCTCGAGATTGTTTCTATTGTCGAAGGACGGAGCTCCCCGAAGTTGTGGGTCAGCCCGTCTTTTGTTGAAGTGCTTGGAGATGCGGCCGATGGATTCCCTCGGACTCCCGCGCTCTTTCGAGCTGGACCGATCGCGTTGACTGCTGCGACGGAGCCTTCGGCCTCCTCCGCGGACCCCCCCCGACCCCCTAGGCGCATCAAGTTGCAAGGTAGACTTACCCGCGTGCTCACGGCGGAACCTCTTCCCAGATGATATCGGTCGGATGTTCTAGGATCGGTTCGCTCGGTGGTTTCCTGACTCGGCTGAGGTTTTGGATTTCGTGAACTGGGAAGAAGTTCGATTTCTCCTTCTCCAAATGAAAGGGCCTATCGCCAATGCTGTTTGGAAGACCCTCAGTGGCAGTTGGCCAACATCTTTAGACTTCACGAAGATATCTCTCATTCACGCACGCTCGGTTGTCAGCTGAATGATTGTTTTGTACACCGTTGGTCCTGCCCCCGATTTCTCGATCTTCTTCGCATTGTCCTCTCTAATAATGTCCACGGTCGCCCCCATTATGTCGATTTGGAGTTTTCCTTCCAACCAAATCCAGATTGAGCGTTTCTGTTGCTGCTTATCTGCTGCTTGTCAACCTCCGCTCATTTTTCGCGCCCCCACGAGCCACCCGCGAGGAGCAGGGGCAGCAGACCGTGCCCCGAACGAAGGTTCAGGTGGCCAGAGCCTCGAGTAGGCGGCGAGGAGTCAGGATTCGGTTCGCAACGACGTACCAGGAGGAGGAGGGGGAGGAGGGGAAGGAGGGAGCGGGAGGAGAGGGGGGGAGAGAGGACGGAGGAGGGAGGAGGGAGAGGGCGGGAGAGGGAGCGGGAGCAAGAGCTGCCAGGGTTCTGCGCCAACGGGGGGGGGGCAGCGCAGCCCATCTGGCCGACCCCGTCTTGGTGGTCACGCGGGGCCGGTTCCCTCTGCCTGCCCTCTGCTGACCCCAGTTTGGGAGCTACTGGGCGGCCAGCCCAGCTTCGCGACAGCGCCCTGGCCGACCCAGGCTGGTGCGTCTCCGAAGCGGGGGGGGGGGAGGAGAAACCCATCATACCATCATACCATTACAAGGGGACGCGACGTCCTTGTGACCGGGATTGGGTGCGCACAGAGGGCCAGCATGGGAACCTCGCACCCAACCCGAGGCCATGTGAAAGGCCCGTTTGGGGAAGAACAGCCGCCACAGGCTTTCGCACTCGTGATTTTCTTCAACGTGGTTCGGGGTCGGATCCACATCATAGCGGTTTTCGAGATGGGCACCATAGCTGTTTTCTCACGGCCACTTCGCCGAGGGACCCGCTTGCGCCAGGAAAACCAGCTGAGTGCGGCTGATTCGACCACCCCCCTTTTTTCAGCCACGCGCAGAGGGGGTAGGGGGAGCGGGGAAGGCTTCTGAGAAGCAGCCTGCTTCTTAGAAAACGCGGTTTTTGTTCTGCAGATGTTGGGTCGGCACCTTCTAAGAAGCAGCCTCATTCTAAGAAGCCTTCCCCCCTACTCCTACCCCCTTCTGCGCGCCGCCAACTTGTGCTATCCCCCCTCTCGCCCACCCCGACGGGGAGGGGGGGGCAGGAGGAGGAGGATGTGTTTGATTGCATGGGGGGGTCGCGAGCGCACGCCTCATTGAACGAAGATCGCTCGCAGATGCCGATTCGCTGCACAATGGCCCTACTGATCAGGGATGAGGAATTCGCTACACCATGGAACCCTCGGGAACGCACATGGCATAGGTGCCTGGCTGTTCTAGAAGAAGCGAGGAAAACGGGCGTGGAGGGGAGGAAGAGGGATCGAGGATCCAGCTCCCTCCTCTAGGATGAGAGAGATAGAGACGATGCGCAGCTAGCCGTGCACAGTCCGAGCAATGTGGAAAATGGGGGCCAAAGCGGCGGAGGAGGAGGAGGAGAAGGAGGAGGAGGAGGAGGAGGAGGAGGAGACAAAAGAGGAGGAGGAGAAGGAGAAGGAAGAGAACGAGGAGGAAGAGGAGGAAGAGGACGAGGAGGAGGAGGAGGAGGAGGAGAAGGAAGAAGAAGAGGAGGAGGAGGAGGCGGAGGGCAGGAGGCAGGAGGGGAGGGAGACGAGGACGCGAGGAGGAGTGCGACGAGGAGAGAGAGGGGAGGAGAAAGAGGAGGGAAGGAGGATGAGAAGGAGGAGACACAGAGAAGGAGGGAGGAGGAGAGGAGAAGGAAGAGGAGGAGGAGGAGAAGAGGAACACGAGGAAGAGGAGCAGGAGGAGGGGAGGAGGAGAGGAGGAGGAGGAAGGAGGATGAGTACGACGAGAAGACGGGACGACGACGAGGACAGGACGAGGACGGGAGGGGGCGGATGAGAGGAGGGAGGAGGAGGAGATGAGGGAGGAGGGGAGAGGAGGAAGAGGGGGGAGGGACGAGGACGAGGAGGGGGAGGAGGATGCGGGGGAGGAGGAGGAGAGGGGGAAGGAGGATGAGGAGGAGGAGGAGGAGAGGAGTATTAGGAGTACGGATTAGGATTGTCGTATGAGGAGTATGGGTGAACTCGAGGATGAGTCGGTGAGGATGTAGGAACAGGACGATGTACTAGGCCCGCCCATCGACTGATGATAGACGAATAACGAGTTCAGTAGACAGTTAGTGAATGCTTACGAGGACTCTGACTAGGAGCGGACTAGTCTAGGACTGAGGACCAGTATGTAGGAGAGGAGGAGTAGAAGATTAGGAGGAGGGTAAGGCGAAACATAAGTAGGACGAGGAGGATAAGGAGGAGAGGAAGCGATGATGACGAGTGAGTACGAGGAGGAGCGAGGAGTGAGGAATAGTGTGAAGAGGACGAGGTAGGACGTAGGAAGAAAGTAGGTAGACGACATGACGCGGTCATTGATGACGAGCGAGGACGAGGAACAAGGGCGGGGAGGAGTCAGTGAAGAGAAGCACGGGTGAGGAGGAGGAGTAGGGATGAGTCTGAGGAGGACGAGGACTAGGACGAGGATGAGGACTAGGACGAGGACGAGGAGGATGAGCGTCTGAAGGAGGAGAAGGGCCCCCCCCCCTGCAGGAGCGCCGGGTCTGCCTCGGCGGCCGCCGCGGAGCCGCCCAGGGGTGGGCCTGCTTCGAGGCCTCGGGCCGAGAGGAGTCGCCGCCGCGGCCGCTGGTCGTCGCCGCCGCCGCCGCCACCATCTGTCGTCGATGCCCGTCGTCGCCTCGGGGGGAGGGGGAGTTGGGGGAGGGGGAGGGAGAGGATGAGGCGGAGGAGGAGGAGGAGGAGGAGGAGGAGAGGAGGAGGACGAGGGGAGGAGGAGGAGGAGGAAAGAGGAAGAGGAGGAGATTCAGGAGGAGGAAGAGGAGGAAGAGGAGGAGGAAAGAGGAAGAGGAGGAGATGGAGGAGGAGGAAGAGCTGGAGGAGGAGGAGGAGGAGGAGGAGGAAAAGGAAGGGCCAGGAGGAGGAGGAGGAGGAGGAGGAGGAGGAGCAGCAGCAGCAGCAAAGGGAGGATTGGGGAAGAGGAGGGGCAGCAGCAGTGGAAATAGAGCAGCAGGGGGACCAAGAGGCTGAAGAAGGGACACCTGCAGGCCTGAGAGCGACGCGGAGGCCAGGGCTCGCATCTTCGGCTACGGCGCCGCCGCAGTGGCCGCCGCCGCGGCGGCCGCGGCCACGGTGGCGAGAAGGGAGAAGGGTGACCAAAGAAGCGGAGGCAGCCGACACCCAGACCTCCTCGCGTCGTGAAAAGGATCCCGACGGCAGGCTTTTGACAGCCCCCGGGTGAGCCTTTGCCGGGCCCTTTGGCCGTCAAAATTCTGGATTAATCATTGGTCCCAGGAGATGGGTCCAGGGGGCCAACGTGATAGTTATAACAAAGCAAAAACAAAAGCAAAAACAAAAAACACAAAAAAAACATGGCGCTGGTGTTAGGGAAAGGGGGAGGAAGAGAAGGAAGAGGAGGATTGTGACGGAGAGGGGGCGGAGGAGGAGGACGAGGAGGAGGAGGAGGAGGAGAAGGACCAGTGTAAACCCAACCTTCGTCACCGAGCGCGTTCCACTACTCGCAAAGTGCCTACTCGCAAACCTCCGAAAAACAAACGACCGCCCCGATGCACCTAATGGATAGCAAAGCCCCCGCGGCGGATCCAGGCCATTGGCGAGCAGTTTCTCTGCGAGTAGTGAAACCCAGAGATCCGATGTCGTGATTTTTCCTATACGCGGTCCCCGGAAGTCTCTACCCCTCCCCCAGAACGGTCCTTCATCCTGAGCCGTTTTTTGACGACCCCAGGGCCCGGCGAGGGCCCCTAGAGCCCGAACATTGCGAAAAACCTCCGTCTTGACTCTTTCCATACGTCCGTCTTGATGTGTCCAGCCCGTTGGATCTCGGGGAACGCGCTTGCCTGCCTCGGGCGCGCCCCGGACATCCAGTGCCTCGAGCTGCTCGCTGCGTGGGCCCCTGGGGGGCCTCTCGACCCCTCTCCCGGGGGGCGGCTCCTCACCCCGAGAGCCGACTCTCCCCCGACGGCCTGGAGGCCCGGCGTGCCGGCGTCCCTCGAGGTCCACGCGGCACCGGCCGCCCCTGAGCTCCGACGCCGCAACCCCAGACGTGATCGCGTCGTCAACAAAGTCGGGACGGGAGGTTTCTGGCCGCTTTCGGCCTCGGGGGGCCCTCGCCTGGCCTCGGGACCGCCGAAAAACGACTCGGGATGAAAAGCTGGTCCGGGGGAACGGGTCGGGACTTCCAGGGGCCCCGCATTGAAAAAGTCAGGACGTCGCATGTCTGGGAATCCAGGCCTCCTAGATGGGGTCCGAGCAGATGAGGTCGGAGGATCGCGCCGCATCGCCGATGCATCGCCGATACGGCTCCATGTGGAGCCCGATTTTCTCCGCGCTGGCGATGCTGATGCACCGCAGACGTCGCTGGCGCATCGGCGATGTATCGCCGATGTATCGGTGATGCGGCGCGATCTTCCGACCCCATCTACTCCGACCCCATCTATGAGACCTCTCGCAAAAACTGCAACATCGCAAGACATCGCGACCGGAGCCACAGACCTTATTGAATCGCTTCGCTCATTCCGCCGGCCCATAGTGTAGCGTCGCTGGCACTTGCTTGCGTGCTCGGGGGGGCATTTGGGTGGCCTCCTGGGGCCGCTTGGGGGCCTCTTGGGGGCCTCCTGAGGGCCTGTTGGGGGCCTCTTGGGGCCTCTTAGGGGCCTCTTGGGGCCTCCTGGGGACTTCTGAGGGCCGAGGGCTCGAAATATTGTTTCGTGTTCCCCCCCTGGGGTCCCTCTTGGGGCGTTCTTGGGGCCCTCTTGGGCCGTCTTGGAGGCCTCTTGGGCCGTCTTGGAGCCCTCTTGGGGGCCCTCTTGGGGGCCTCTTGGGCCCTCTTGGGGCGGTCTTGGGGGCCTCTTGGGCCGTCTTGGGGTGTCGTGAAGCCGAAAAGGTGGAAACGCCAAAATCTCTCCAAAACCTAAGGAAAAGCAGTGAATTTTGCCTCTTGGGGCCCTCTCGGGAGTGCTCTTGGAGGCCTCTTGGGGCGTCTGGGGGCCATCGTGGGCGTCTTGGAGCGATCTTGTGGCATCTCGGACCCCTCATGTAGCATCTTGGGGGCCTCTTGGAAGCCTCTTGGCCCTTCTTGGGGCTCTCGGGGACGTCTCGGAGCCGCGTTGGTGCGCTGCTGGAGCGCCCTGGTGACTCCTCCCGGGACTCTCTCGGGACCTTGCCGGGGTACTTTCCGCCCGGGGGCCCCCAGGGGCCGCCCCGCGCGCGCGAAGTAGAAAGATTGTAAAGCAGTCACCGGAGATCTTAGCACGCCTCTGGCCCGTTGGGCCGGCGAATTGAGACCTCTCGCAAAAACTGCAACATCGCAAGACATCGCGACCGGAGCCACAGACCTTCTCTTTCTGTGTCCTTCTTCGCGCCGGGTCGACTGCACGCACGAGTGAGCTTTCGCCGGAGTGACCTGTGGTGCGAGCCCACTGGGGCCCCCCGATCGCCGAGTGCGGTGCGACAGCAGCGTCTTGCGCGCTTGTGTTTGGCCACCCCGCGTCCCCCGTTAAGCCGCGCACCAAAGGTCCCAGCGTGATATCATCACTCGTCCTTATCCTCCTCTTACTCCTCTTACTCCTTCTCCTCATTCTCCTCCTCCTCCTCCTCCTCACCACCACCACCATCACAAGTATAATCACCATCATAATCATAAGGTCCCAGACCCCCGACGTCATGTTTTTTCAGAACGTCGACCCCGAGAGGTCTCGACCCGTTCCCCGGGACCCGCTTCTCATCCGCAGTCGTTACACCGCGCTCCCGAGGCCCGGCGAGGGCCCCCGGAGGCCGAAAATGGCAAAAAAAAAAAAAAACGTCGTGAGTGTTGTGCCTCCCTCGAGGGGGGGGTCTGAGGGAGGCCCCTCTCGCCCAGTGGCCGCCCTGCGCGTGCACGGCCGGCCAGCGCGGGCGGCGGAGCCGGGGCGCCGCTCGGCGCGCCTGCCGAGGCGCCCCAGGAGCCCCCCGTCGGGCGCGGCGCACCGTGCGGGGCGTCGCTCCCCCAGCAGGAGCCTGGGCGCTGCCGTGAGAAGGCGCCCCTGCAGCCCAGGGCTACGCCGGGCCCTTCATATTCCAAAATCTTTTATATATATATATATATATATATATCGATATATATAATATATATATTTATAACTATATATATATACATACATACACATACATATACATACATATTATAACACAAAAAAAAGATACAGAGATCGTCCCCATATTATTTTGTTTGGAATCACTTTTTGAGTTTTCCTCCTGTAAAGGACGGCCCGACCCTAGTGGGCCCTGGAAACGACAGGGCCGTGTTTTTTTTTACCGGTTCCGTGTTGCCGTTTTTGTTGCCGGTTCCGACGCCGTGTTTTGGCCGGTGCCGTCGCCGTTCTTTTACGGGTTCCAGCTCCGGTTCCAGTCCTGGAGCCGTTTTTGTTGCCGTTTCCGGTCGCCGTTTTTTTGCCGTTTCCATTTGCAAGGGACTCTTTTTCGGAAACGGTGATAAGGTCGGGCCTGTCCCTCTACAGGAGGGATATTCAAAAACAGACAAAAAATAGTACGGTGAGGTGCTTTGCATGTTTTTGGGGGGGCAGTTTTGGAATAGTCGGGGGCGGAAAAGAGGGGAGTGATGACTAGGCGGGGGGTGAATATCATGGCGTGGGCCATGATATTTCCCCAGATTTCATGGCGCCTCTTCTTATTTCATTACGTCCCTGGCCCCCCCGCTGGGCCGCGCACATGCCGCCGGTCATGATTTACACCCCCCTCTTGGACACCCCCCTCTGGGCCGCTCCCGAAATAGGTTTCACCATTCTCATTCTTCGTCCACACTCCGTCTGTTAGGGGGCATGCCCGACCGAAGTCCAGGGCGTCTCGAGGCCTCCTGGGGGGGGGGGCCAGAGCCCAGACCCCCCTCGAGCACGGAAGAAAAATCCCAGAGCCCAGACCCCCCTCGAGCAAGGAACAGCAACACGACGGGAAGTGTTCGCTGTTTTCGGCCTCCAGAGGCCCTCACTGGGCCTCGGGACCGTCGAGAACCGACCCAGTATAGAGCCCAGACCCCCTCGAGCAGGGAAAAAATCACGACGGGAGGTTTTTCGCTATTTTCGGCCTCCAGGGTCCCTCGCCGAGCCTCGGAAGCGTCATAAATCGGCTCCGGATGAAAAACTGGCCCCACGAAACTTCCAGGGGCCGACGTTGTGAAAAAATCATGACGTCGGGGGTCTAGGAAGATGGCCTCTGGGAGAACCCCTCTCGAGGCCTGCGGAGGGCCCCAGGGGCTCCAAAATGGCATTGGAGGCTGGGGACGCATCTAAGACATGCGATGTGTCGACCTTTGTCAATGCAGGGTCCCTGGGAGCCCCGACCCTTTCCCCCCAGGTTTTTTCTCCCGAGTCGTTTTCTGACGGCCCTGGGGCCCGGCGGGAGCCCCAAGAGGCCGAAAAGACCTTCCCCCCCCAACAAACAAACAAACCAAAAGTGCCCGTGCGATGTCTTCGCGACGCACCGGGGGGCACCTTGGTGAGCCAGGCCCAGGCCCCCGACGTCGTTGTTTTTTTACGACGTCGACCCCCAGAGGTCGGGACCCCCTCCCCAGGACCGGTTTTTTTCCTCTGGAGTCGATTTTTTGACGCTCCCGAGGCCCGGCGAGGGCACCCCGAGGCCGAAAAATGGCAGCAACAACAACAACAAAAGACGTCGTGATTTGTTCCTTACTCGAGGGGGTTTGGAGAGGCACCTTCGGCGGCCCCCGGCGCCCCCGCCCTGTCCCCTCGCAGCGGCCGCAAATTGCGGGGGGGCCCAGGGTTGAGTCGGGCGTGTCCCTCTACAGAACGAGTGCTCAAAAGTAGTCACGAACAAACAGAAAATGTCTGGGGACACCTTTTTTGATTAATTGTGACTCATTGTGAATGTTTGTGGCGTACTTTCATTTTTTCAAAAATCCGCATGTAGGAGGACATGCCCGACCTAAGCCAAGGTTCAGGAGGGAAAATAACACAGGCACAGTTAATCGTCGATCCCCAGGAAAGATTGGAAAACATGGGAAGTGGGGGGGAGACGAAAACCCAGAAGAGGCAGGAAAATATTGGGCATCCTGGGACTTGCGTTTATCTTTTAAATGGCACAGCTGTGTTCTAGAGCTCGGACCTCTTTATTTTCATCGTCGTCGTCGTTCGTTCGTCCTTCGTCGTCCGTCCTCCCCCCGCAACCACGGAGGGAAACTCCTGGAGGAAGGAGGCGGAAGCCTCCTGTCCCTCGCAGCTCCTTGGTGCAAGAGCCAGGGTACGCGTGCCACTTGTTTGTGTGCCCTTGGGCCCCATTTAAAGACGGGAAAATGTGAGAAAGATGAGGGAGACACGTAAACCCACAAAAGACAGGTAAATATTGGGCATCCTGGGACTTGCGTGTATTTCTGATCTTGCACAGCTGTGTTCTAGAGCTCGGACCTCTTTATTTTCGTCGTCGTCGTTCGTTCGTCCTTCGTCGTTTGTCCTCCACCCCCTGGCCACGGAAGGAAATTCCTGGAGGACGGAGGCGAAAGCTTCCCGTCCTTCGCAGCTCCTTGGCGCAAGAGCCAGGGCAATTGTTGATCCCCCGGAGAAGATGGGAAAATATGGGAGAGTGGAGGGGGGGACACGAAAGCCCAGAAAACACTTGAGAATATGGGAATCCTGGGAGTTGTATGTATTTATTATGGCGAAGACCTTACGGCCAGTGCCGCCGACCCCGAGGGGGGCGACGACGAAGACAGCGACGCTGAAGATGTTCAAAAAGTTCAGGGATGGGAGGGAGGAGGAAAGGGGGGAGGAGGAAGCGAAGGGGAAGGGAAAAAGGAGGGAGGAGGGAAGACAACTTGGAGGAGGTTGGCGTGCCCCTGGGCCCCTTTAGAGGTGGCCGGCGCCGCCCCCGCGGCCGCCGCCGCCGCGGGGCCAGCGCCTGGCGGGGGGCCGCGCGCGTTCGAGACGGGGGCGGCCATCGCCGTGGTCGAGGGGTGGGGGGATCCTCCTCCTCCTCCTCCTCCTCCTCCTCCTCCCTCCTCCTCCTCCTCCTCCTCCTCCTAGCCGCCATCCCGGCTCGAGGGACCCCTGGGTGCGGTTACCAGGTAACCGCGCGCCCCTCCTCGGGAAGGCTGCCAGACGCGCCCCAGGCGCCCTCCGCCGCCGCCATAGTGCTGCCGCGCGGGGAACGCCCAGGTGGCCGTGACCACGCAGGACGTCAGAGCGAACCGTCCTGACACAGACGACTTCGTGCACAGCGAGGACGAGCAAGGGTGCTCGTCCGCCTCGCCTCAACCAGACGACTACTTTCTCAGCATCACAGCGCCATGCGGCCGCAGGGCGCCCCACCGCCATGGGCGGCCGCCAGCGCCCAAGCCCCAGGAGGCAAAGGTGCGTCGGGCGGCACCAAGGGAGATGCCCCATCGCAGTCTACGCAGCAGCAGTATGGCTCTTGGTGTTGCTCATCATGCGGCACATACAATTGGCCAAGTCAGAAGATTTGCTCATGGTGTTTTCCGCCCCAGCAGAATGCCCGCAGGTCCAGAGACAAGCCCTGATCCAAGACGCCCAGCAGGAGGAGGGATCAGAAGGCGACTTCAGATACCCCAGCGCCTGCCGCCACAGGGAATGCTACTGCCTCTTCGGTGAACATTCCCCCCGCATCCGCGGAGGCGGCCAGAGCGCACCCCAGCTGGGTGGACCCGCCTACCGACGTGAAGGATCTGGCAAACCATCGGACCACCCTGAAGACCACGTTGAAAGCACTCGAGCAGCAGTTGACATGCCAACGTTCTCTCAACATGAATGGGCAGCGGGTACAGACGCTGGAGCTAGAGTACGCGACCATCCTGTACATGTACCCAGCGGCTCAGCCCCCAGATCATGTACCTCGAACGTGCTCGTGCTCGATTGCAGTCAGCAGCAGAGACAGAGTCAGACGCCAAGGCACAGCTCACCAAGGCCACTTCAGCGCGCATCGCGCTGGAGAAGGACGTGGAACAGGCGGAGGTGCTGCTGGAGACGTTCAAGTCACAACAAGCAGAAGCAGAGCAAGCAGAAGCACAAGCGGCCGCCCAGAAGAGGACGATCACTTTCGGAGGAGACGGAGATACAGAAATGACGCAGTCGCCCTTTTCTCCAGCTACATGCCAGCCATCGAGCACAGCACAGCCACCAGGACAATTCAGCCCAGGTGCCGCAGCGACATCACCGTTCGCGCCATCACCTTACTCGCAAATAGTGAATATGCCAGCTCATGGACCTTCAGTCGTTCATCAACTTCAACACGGACAAGCCACGCTTACTGGACAATTGGCCTCGTTGACTACTCAGTTCGCAGCCTTGCTATCATCTCTCAGCGCGGTCGCCGCAGGCTTGCAGCATCAGACTCAAGCCAACGCAGCATCCACCGACAGCAACACGGACACGGCGCTCGTGGAGCAGTTACCAGGGGCAGGGGACAAGCCCCCGCGAACGCCCACCCAGCCCAGCAGCCTCACGCGGGAACGCCACGGCAGCAAGCAGCTGCCGCCGCCGCGGGCGGCCCAGCGGCGGGCCCTGGCCAAGCCCCAACACAGCACATGCCGGCTGGGCAGAGGGCCGCGGGTCGAGCGTTTGCGAAGCCGCCGCCGCCAGGCCAGCTCCCCCTTCAATGGGGCCCCGCCCGAGGCGTTCAGTCAGAGGACGGAGCGGACGTACCAGCAGGCGACCACGACGAGGACGACCTACCCAATATCTCGGCAGAAGAGCGCGCAGCTGCAGTTGCCCTGGGAGTTCTTGCACCACCAGATCTCACCACCCCACCGCCTCGCAGGAGGCCCGAGGACACGACGCCCGAGGATGCACCAGCGCACAAGATCCAGACGCTGCCGTACGAGGAGGATTCTCCTACTCCACCATCGGGCACGGCCGCCCCTGGCACGGGCCCCTTCCTTTCGCAAGCAGAAGCAGTTTTTCGAGCAGCGGAGGAGAGATGAGGAACGACGCGCTGCAGGAGCAGCACGCCAGCCACGGCATGCAGGACCTGTCTCCTCCGGAGTACCAAACATCAGATCAGGGGTGTCCTACAGCCCCTGACGTCCCCTGGGATGAACATGCCTTCCTCAGAGGATGTGGTCGGTCGCCTCTCCCACACACCTCGGCTCTTGCCGGCATGCTCCAGCTTCCTTGGGGAGTCCAACTCGACCAGGACATACTGGGTTTATCTCAGTTTCTTCATTCATCTACTGCTTCTGCCCTTTCAGGTCTCTCTACCCTACAGGACTTATCAGAATGGGTCTCACTCGAGTTTTACACTGACGGATCAGGCGGTGGCAGCATGTACCCTCCAGGCGCCAGCATCCCCGAAGGAGCTCCTCGCACGGGCCCCCCCCAGTTGGGCGTTTGTGGTTCTGGTTACCGACTCCATGGGGGACCAGGCTCTACTGGGATACGCCACGCAGTGCTTTCATCCTGGAGGCACTTCGAACTACCTGGTTTCTTTCTTGGCTGAGATCCTTGCTGCTCAATGGGCTCTCGCCTGGGTCCTGCAATCAGGTTATGATTCACTGGCTATTTCCGTTTATGGGGATAATCTGGGAACTCTGGACGTTATGCGTGCTGGGGCCATATATGGAGCTCTGGAGGCCCACCGCCGAGTACTCAACGGCTTGTCCCTCCCTGTCCAGGCTCCTTCCCAGAGGTTTTAAGTGACGCATATTGCAGGACATTCAGCTCAGCCATGGAATGAGCTCGCCGACGCACTATGCCGAATTGTTTCACTGCAGCATATCGCGCCCACGGCCCTCCCAGATCATTGGCAGGAGGCATGCCGAACGCACTCGTGCAGTTTGGCATGGGCTTGGCTGGATGCACAACCCATCGCCGCAAGAGCGCAATACCCACCGGCTGCAGGATATCATTTACGCGACAGCTATCCTGCAGTTGTTCAGCTTGCAGACCTTCAGCCACAGCCCAGGGCACAGGGCTTAGACGGGAGGCCAGGCGCACACACGAGTATGGGTCCCACTACACGGTCCATGCGCATGATCACGGCCAACGTTCTTACTTTGGACCCCAAGGCCGTGCGCCAGAAAAAGGTTTCGGGACTTTACTTTCCTGGACGTATGGCGTACCTGGCTTCAGTCTTCAAGAGGTCCCAGGTTTTCTTGGCGGGCACTTGTGAAACGCGTTACCCTAGGGACGGATGTACCAACACTAGGGAAGACCTCGTCTTACACGCCGGAGCTGATCAGCATCGCCGCTTTGGGTGCTCTCTGGATTAACCTGAGGCTGACTTACGCAGACGGCTGCCGTTTGAATGCCAAGGAATGCCGAGTTCTTCACGCCAGCCCAAGGTTGTTAGTGGCTGCTATTAGAGCTGACGCTCTCCGCTGCAACGTGGTGGTAGGCCACGGACCACGCAGCGTCACCCAGGAGATGAAGCTTCAGCAATGGTGGTCTGAGAGGGGCAACTCTTGGGCAAGCTCCTGGAACCTGGCATACCGGAGGTTCACTTTTGGGACTCTAATGGCACCATGGGCTCCGTCGTCTCATCGAGTGTTGGCAGCTTTCGCGAAGCCCCCGAGAACAAGACGGGCTCGCTTTTCCACGAGATTTTGCTCGAGAGGTCGCTTTGGGCCCCCTCCACCTTCCTCCACTCCCCAGGCCCCAGCGGCGCCACTTGGCATTCGCCGCAGCACCAGGAGGGGAAGAATGGACGGCGCATCGATTACGCGGTTTGCTCACACTCAGTGGCCGTGCAGGACGCTCGAGTGGCCCATGGTAGAGAGCTGGCCATCACCATCACTGATCATAAGGCAGCATCAATCATGGCAAAGATTCCCTTGCTGCAGCAGAGTCCAGAGCAGTATGCACACCCACGCATCAAGTGCGACGAATCTCTGTTTTGCGACACGAAGGCTCGGCAACACTTTCACGAGTTACTTTTACAAGCGCCGCAGCCAGAGTTTCAAGTTCACGCTGCGGACCACTGCCAACAGCTCACTACTTACTTGCAGGTTGCTATCGCCACCGCCTTCCCCCCCCCCCCCCCCCCCCAAAGAAGACCGACAGCGGAAGAAAGCCTAGACAAGCTTGGGCGTCTACTAAAGCCCTCGAGCACATGGACACCACAGCTGGGTTCCTCAGGCACTTTTGCGACACCTACAAGTCCTGGAAAAGAGCTGCTCGGGCCACCGATTTTAGAGCTTGGGCCGCACCGCTTGGGGGCCCCTGGTTCTCTTATCGGCAGCTATCCTGGCGCTTCGCGCTGCGACCGCTCGACTCTGGAGCTCGGAGCTGGCACCAATACATTGGGGAAGCTATTAAAGGCGCTGCCCAGGGGCTATCTGGGATTAAGAAGCTCTTGTCCGAGCTGGAGGCTTACCCGGAGGCTCACAAGGTTTCTAGACCACGGCCTGACAGGCTCCAGAGTTTCGAGCTCACAGGGCTCATCGACACCATCGCCCAAGGCAACTGCACGATCATCATCAATGCGCTCGCAGCAGGTGCCAAGGTCGTCCAGGCCATGCGGCGCACCAGCCTATGTTTATCGACCAAAGTGGTCAACCTGCAGCTCAGAGCCGATTCGCGCATGCATGCACAAGAAATTGCCAGAGACGTATCCAGTGAGTGGTCGAGGCGGGATCACCTCCAGGCTTTTCGCAGGCTTAGATCCATCGGGGCTGGCTCCAAGAAGAAGGTTCGGCGTCGAGTTTTACCCATCCTCAACGGCTTCGACGGAAATCCGCTCGACTCGGAACGTGCCGTTGCTGACATGTGGACACAGCATTTCGCCCTTATCGAAGCGGGTCCTGTCATACCCTTCTCGGACCTGGCCTGGTACAGTTCAGGGATCCAGGAGTTGCCCCAGGAGCTCCTCGATCGCATCGCGTTCGCCCCGGAGGATCCTTACACCATGGCCCAGGCGTTGCAAGCCTTGCGCTCAGCTAAGCCGTCAGCAGCAGGACCAGACGGCATCACAGGCAACATGGTCCGCAAGCTTGCTGGCGAGCTGGCTCCGTTGCTGCTGCCACTGTTCCTGAAGGCCCAGGTACGCATCTCGGAGCCTATCCAGTGGAAGGGTGGTTTTTTACTGGCCCCTGCACAAAAAAGGTAATCCTGCTTCCCGTCTCAATTACCGATCCATACTCGGGTCGCCCCCGCTGGGGAAACGGTTTCGAAGTCTGTTGCGAAGAGATGTGGCACCTCTGTTGCTGCCGCTAGCTGGCCCCCGTCAGCACGGAGGAGTTGCTCATGGCGGCGCGGACTTTGCAGCACTGGAAGTGCGCACCATGCAGCAGATCGGCCTCCAGACGGGTCAGTCCGCGTTGTTTATCCCTACGGATGCTGTGCAGGCTTTTTACAGATCGGTCAGGGAGCTTGTCTTCGAGACGGGCGCATCTGACGAGGCACTGGCCCACATCCTCAGGTCTGCAGGGCTTCCACCAGAGGCCATGGATGAACTCGAGGCGTACGTCAAGACCCATGGGCCCATCATGGAGGCTCCGCAGTTCCCCAAGAGGCTCCACGCGCAGGTGGCGGACTGCTACCAGTCCAACTGGTTCGTTGTCCAAGGGAGCTCTACCATGGCTTTTCCTCAAGAGGGTACGGGACCTGAGCAGCAATTGGGGGACCTGGTGCACAATTTCGTCGTGGCCCTAGTGGCCAAAGAAGCCCAGGACGCTCTGGTTGATCTTGGGATTGAGTTACGTACTCCTGTCTCGGAGGCCCGTTCTATTAGTACGTACCTGGACCAGGACACGCAACACGTACACACAGACCACTCTATGGACATGGCTTTTTCGACGATGCGATGTTCATGCTGCTAGGAAGCCCGTCCGACCTTCTACGGCTTGCGCCATTCGCCGCCAGCATCATCTTCGACGCGTTCGGGCCCAGGGGTATTCAGCGTCATACCGCCAAGGAGAAACCCGCTGCCCTTTTCCAACTTCGAGGCAAAGGATCCGACATAGCGAAACGGCGACTCTGGCTGCAGTGGGGAGACACCATTCGCTTTGTCACTAGGTTATATGGCCAACTTGACCTACACGCAGTTAGACAGCATACGCACCTCGGAACTGTTCTCGACGAAGGTTGTTCTTTAGGACCCGAACTAGCGCATCGCCGTCAAGCTACAGCTGCAGAGTGGAAGAAGCTTCGCAGCGTCGTGAGAGACCCGCACCTCGAGAATCATATCGGCATGATCTTGATCGATTCTATTATGTGTCCAAGCCGTTTGTATCAAGCATGCACCTGGCCGGCTCTAACACTGGCGCAGTCAGGCCAGCTGGCCGACGATATGGTTCGCATGTACAGAGCTGTCATCCATTGCCCGAGGATTGACAAGACAGCGCTGCCAACGGCGCAGATCCTTGCCAAAGTTGCCAAGCCAGACTTAAGCTCCATGCTGCGGGTGCACAGGCTGAGGCTTTTTGGAAGACTCCTGCATCATGGGCCAGCACACCTTCTGGCTCTAGTGGGATATTGCGCCACCTTGGGCACAAACTCGTGGTTACACCAGGTCATACAAGATCTAGAGTGGGTCCGACAGCACCACTATCGCTAGAAGGAGCTTCCCAAGGCCTCCGAGGACCTCGCAGCTTGGGAATCACTCATCTTAGGCTCTGGGACGCGTCGGAAGGCCATCCTCAAGGCGGCCCTGCAGGCCCATATTTCACATCATACTAGAACTACTCTTGCCGCTGTCGCGGAAGCCGAAGCTTTTCAGGTTTTATACGACGCGGGAGTACCGAAGGCCTTTACAGATCCCGGTCATCCCCTGAGGGTCCAGGATCAAGCCACCATGCCATCATACGCGTGCCTATGGTGCCCTGAGAAGTTTGACACCATCAAGGGTTTCAAGCAGCACACGGCCCGCGAGCATTGGACGTTTATACACAGAGTGCGCACACATCTTGGACACACCAGGCAATGTCGGCACTGTCAGGCTACGTTCGCAGCACGCAAACCATTAGTCGAACATCTTGCTTTCTCGTATCCGAAGTGCGCGCTGGCCATGCTCAGCACGCCCTACGATTGTTCCCACGATCAGATCGAGAAGCTCAACGAGGAAGCAGCCAACACAGCCGCACAGAAAAGAGCAGCAGTTCTGGGCCGATGGCGCCCAGAGGTCCCAGCTATCCAGGTACGAGGACGTGCCCGAGCACGTGCGGCCCAGGACCCCTTCGCACGAGATGTGATCGCTCTACTGACCGACTCTGAGGCCCGCGAAGTTTTGCTGCGTTCTGACTGGGTTTTTACAGAGGAGGCGGCCTCTCAATATTTAGCCTTGCCTGCGGTTGCGGCCCCTGCGGTCCAAAGCGAAGGTCTAGAAGACCGCTACTGGCCCTTTCGGCCCCAGGACTACGCCCAAACCGCTGCCGACCCCCTCCCCGTCAGAATTTACAGAGCCCAGTTTTTCGCGCTGAACTTGTTCTGTGGGAAGCGCAGAAGCGGCGATGTGCAGTGGCATCTCTCCTCGTCGCACCCCCTCCCGGAGTGCGAGATCTTCTGCCTCTCGATCAACATAGCGATCGATAACGAGCGAGGCGATTTAACTCAGCATGACTCTATCAAGTTTTGGATTGGTCACATTCGTTACCGAAGGGCGCTCACACAGGGGGGGGGGGGCCCTGCGAGACTTGGAGTGCTGCGCGTTGGCAAGAAGGGCCCCCCCCCCACCCCCCCCCCCCCCCCCCCCCCTACGCCCCTTGAAGATTTTTGGGCGATCCCAGGCTGCACGCCCAGGCAACAAGACCAGTTCCGCATCGGAGGCCAGCTCCTCCAGGCTTTAGCTCTTATGTTGTGCGAACACATGCGTGCTGGAACGGGCGGGTGGATGGAACATCCTATCCCCGCCTCCTGGGTCCCTGATGCCCCCTCCTCCTGGCGATGGCCCCCGCTCATTGCCCTCGTTTCCTCCCCCGTTTCCAGTATGACTGACTTTGATCAGTGCGAGCATCACCTGGCCACTTCTGACATGTCGCAGATTGGAAGAGCACCTACCCGAATCATTGGAATTCGAATGCCCGCGCTCCCAGAGGCTCTTACGAACGCGCCAGGAGCGGGACGCTGCTTTCACGGCAGAGGGGCTCATCTCACCTTGCTTGGTAGGAAAAAGGATGGTTCGTGGAGAACCCAGGCCAAGAAGACATATCCCAGCCGCCTTTGTCAGGCGATCGCGAAGTCCATTTTGGACAGCGCCCAGCAGATCGTGGCCCCAATTAACGGAGCAGATTTTGTCTTCGAATTCGACGAGTCAGGTATTACAGACAGTCTCATGCGATTCTTCGTTCCATGGACCCCTGACTGCGACCAAGAATTTGCCCTGGCCCCCGATTTCGCTGGAGGCCACAAGTGTTCTCGTCGCAGGGTCGGTCCAGAGTCGCACAGGTTTTTTCCTGAGTCCGAGGGGGATGGAGTTTTCCTGGCCCCCCCTCCCACGGGCCCTGATCCCATGGACCAGGAAATGCTCTTCGCTCCCCAGAGCCAGTCTGTTGCGACTGCTCAGTGGGCCTTGGACGTCTCTCCTCTCGTCCCTTCCCCGCCCCCCCCTCCCCCCCCTCCCCCCCTCACCGAAGAGCGGCGATCAAGGATCGCCTTCAACCGAGCGCAGGCCAGGGAAAGGCGTTTGGTCCGCACCCAGGCCGCCGCCAAAGCAGCACACGAGGCCAGAGCCCCGTGGCTCGCACGAGGAGGCCAGCTCCGCATCCCCGACCTGTTCATGAAGGACTAGGGCGGGGAGCGCCTTCTCTTTTTTGTTTCTGCTGTCTCTATGCTGACAGTCATTGAACAGATGGAGCACACTCATGGTCATGCCCCTCGTCGCACACACACTCCTCCTCCTTCTCGTTATCCTTTTCCTCCTCCTCCTCCTCCTCCTCCTCCTCCTCCTCCTCCTCCTCCTCCTCCTCCGCCTCCTCCTCCTCCTCCTCCTCCTCCTCCTCCTCCTCCTCCTCCTCCTCCTCCTCCTCCTCCTCCTCCTCCTCCTCCTCCTCCTCCTCTTCCTGAATCCGCAGGTCCGGCACGCACCTAGCTTCGAGGTGCGTGTCCACTGGGGCTAGGCGTGTCGCGGCCGAGTCCATTCATCAAAAAAAACAAGGAAGGGGTGTGCCCATCCAGGAATTTGTCTCAGCACCCGCGGTGGAGGGCGCCACTCCACCCGGGCGCCGGCGACAGGGCACACCGCTATTAAGTAGCAGCGGCGAGGCAGAGGGGAGAAGGACAGGAAGCCGGGAGAAACCAGAAGACGGAGGAGACGGGGCCGTGGCCGTGCGGTGTGCGCCACCCAACCACACCGTTAGGCGCCGCGCACCACCGCCGGAGGCAAGGAGCAGGAGAGGAGAGGGGAAGGAGGGAGAGAAGCGAGGGCAAAGGCGCAGAAGCAGGCGGCCGCGGCACGCTGGCGAGACGGATCCCCGAAGCAGCCAAAATAATTACGGAAGTGGCGGCGAAAACAACTGCCCGGAGGGAAGGAAGAGCAGGGTCAGAGTGCGCAAGAGGGCGCCTCATGGTGGGATGGGAACGCCCGCGCCCGCCAGGATGGCATGTTGCCCCTGGCGAGCGCGGCTTGGAGCCGGCGCCACGCACTAGAGATGCTCTCGCTCCGCTTGGACTCATCCAATCCATCGCCGAAGTGACGGACGACAGCCACCATGGATTCGCCTGGCCGGCCGAAGGTCTCGGAACACGTTGGCACTTGCGACGCATGTAGCCCTCATGATGACGAGCAAGCACACCCTCCTTGTCAGTCATGGCGCTCGTGTCTGCCACTGTGCGCGGCGTTGGCGTTACGACGGCGACGTCTGCCCAGACCTGGTCCGCCCTTGCATCCCACCACATGATGACGGGATGCTTGCCGCCCTCCACTTGGCCACCATGGGGCTCAATGTGGATTGGGGACGTGACTGTCTCTCGTAGCAGAGCAGCCAACTCGTCCCGCACCTCATCGTGTCGCATAGCGATGTGTCCGCCCACGCTGCACAGCAAAGGATGAATGCCAGTAGCCTCCACCTGGGCTCCACAAAATCAACCCTACTACCGGCTGACATGCCCATACTGCCCCGCTTGGGCGAAGATGGGGAGGTGCATACGAAGCTGGACGTGCGTGACGAACTGCTGGTTCGTGAGCCGGTCAGCTGGTTTCTGCGGCGTTTGCAGACACTGCCCAGACCCAGGTCCCACCGCAGAATTGGTGACCAACATCTCCTGTCCCATCGCACCGCGTTAAATATTCTGCAATGCGCGTGTCACGACGGATTCTCGGAGTTTGCCGGCCGCCTTCTCTGCTTGGGCGATCGTGAGGCAAAATTGTAACGAGGTGGGCATGTCTGCGCCCATGGTGTCCAGATGGGCGATGGCCGATTGAACCGCCGACAGCACTGTAGGTAGCTCTCGTGCCAGATCCGCCCTGTTGGCAAATCGGGGGGATCGCGCTGCAGCAGCTTCGAGCTCCCGCGCCCAGCTGGCCAAGTGCAGCGCGACAGCGCCGTGCTTCACGGACAAAAGCCCGAAGCCCTTGGAGCGCCAGGGCAGGAAGAACCGCTCCCGCGCCGTGACCGAGACCTCGCTGGCTTCCACGCCCAGGATTTCCAGCTGTCCTTCGAACGAAGCTCGGTCGAGACTCTCTGCCTGAGCGTCGTCGACAACGAAGTTCTCACATGTGTAATCTGCGTCACCCGCGGAGGCGTACCTGGCCAGAGCCTGTCGTGGTGCCAGGCCCGCTCCTGGCATAGTCGGGCAACCGCTGCCTGCGGCGCTCGCAACGCCTTCGCCGATGCGCCGGGCGGCGGGGTGACCTCAACACACTGACGCCACGTCCGGCGGCGCCCCCGCGCCCCAATGTGGGGGTGTTGAGACCGCGCCAGGCTACAAGGGGGGGCCTGTTGAGGCCAGCCAGGACTGCATCGTGGGCGGGCTGTCCGTGCGCGACCCGAAGGCTTACCAGATGGGCTGTGGGCGGGGAGGCGCCCGCTCAGCACCGTCGGTGTGCGGGCGACGATGTCCACACGCACTGCCCCGAACTGCCGCGGGGCCCGCCCGCCGGCACAAGCACACGATCCCGTCAGATTCATAGGCGGGCCAAGCGCTCGCAGCACCCCAGGGAGTTCGTCGAGCAATTCTCCAGTCTTGCTCCTCCTCCTCCTCCTCCTCCTCCTCCTCCTCCTCCTCCTCC